AAAAATACACAAAACAACCTTTTTAAAACATCTGTTGCTTGGAAACTAGTGCAATGCACGGGACAATAATATAAATCATATCTGTTAAAGTAGCTAATGAATATTTCTTAATATAACAAATTGATTTTGAATATTAATATTAATTTTTATTTTGTTTCTTTTATTTCTATGATGTATAATGTTTTAATATATGATTTATATATTTGTTTAATTTGCTGCACAATAGAAGTCATTTTAGAGTAAGTGTTTAAAATTCATAAACATAAAAATTTAAAATATTCAAACTTTATCTGTTAATAATAGTCACAAAATCACTTCTCTCTCTTCCCTCACCCACACCTTATTGTTTAGAGTTCATAAGCACATGTAATATCACATAAGCCATAAGAATTCGAACTTTACACAAAAACAAATTAAACATGGGTTCTAATACTACTTGTTGGGATCTACGAGGATTGTCGTAATTGTGTGAGTCACGAATTAATCTACGAACAAAACTATTCAAACGATTTTTTTTTTTCACAGTGTTCTAAAAAATTGTTCGTTGTATATGTATGGGAAAGGAATTTATAGCTTCTTACGGAGTTTCATATGCGGACACTAAACTGAGGTGTTAATTTATTATTAATCGATGATTGAAAATGTAGATTATTTGCTTAATTGTTATTTTATCATGTTGTCTTAGCTATCTTGTGTAAGTTATGGTTGTTTCCATCCAAACTACTGAATGTATAAACTTGGTGCATGAGTTGTTTCAACGCAAAATTAAGCACTCAGTCTCCAAGAAGTAGGTGGAAGTTAAAGGGTAATGTCATATTTTATGTAAAATATTCTTTATTTTGCAGTATTATTGGTTTGATTTGTAATGTATGCTATATATAGGTTTGAGTAGATTTAGGTTTTGAAAAGTGTTATATCTCAATGTAATCGATCATTTCCTTCACTTTGCTTTGCCAATACTTTATCCTTCACTGCAAAATTAAAGCGATTGTATATTATGACTGAAATATTTCATGATCGTGTACATACTACATTTTCTCCAAAACTAGCGGCATAATAAAAATGACCAGGTCTTTAAAATTACTATAGCTTCC